AAAAGGAAAGCACAGGGATGGCTTGTTCTGGGAAGCGCCTGTATTTTGTACAGAGAAAGCTTTTCAGGGAAGAGGTAGGGGTTAACAGCTGAAATGGAAAAGCAAGAATTGAGATATTGAGAGAAACCAAGCACCACATATGATAGCATTGGAGTAAGAGGTGGAGAATTTGAAAAATGTCTAGCTGAGAGCCAAAATGGTGATCAACAACCATAAAACACTGAAAAGCAGTTTGACTTGCTAAAGACCATTGCAATGATAGATAAGTAGACATCTCCCATGAAACCCGGTATCAAACACCAGGCACCACCTGTTACTTTTCTTACCACTGAGAAAAAGCAAAGATACAAAGAATTCTGGTAATGTGAAGGAGGAGCAAACCCTCCTTTAGAGTGGCTGTGCACTGGCTGGCACAGCAGACAAAACTTGGAGAGGATTTAACTGAGGTTACTGACCGTCAGACTATTGGCCTCTTTGGAAAACTTCAGCATCTTAAAGGACTGTAAAGCCATTATTGTATTTCATCTGGAAGGAGCCTTACCAGGTAGCGCTGGGATTGTTAAATGTTGTTTATTTCAGAAATGCACTGCTTCTAGAATCCAGCTCGTTTAGATGAATTTTAACATGGAAAGACGTTTTTGTTACTTTGGACATTGTGTTCATCTCAGAACTATGATGCTTTGTAGCTGACAGGTCTGCAAAGTCCATAAAGCCTGGGCTAATTCAGCTGGCTGAGTGGTGCAATGCTGACTACAGCTGAAAAGCTTTAGATAACTCTGAAATGAAATTTGAATTTTGTGCTACCTTAAATGAAAACTCTGAAGTCTTACAACAGTTTAGTTTTGGTTTTGTGAAGTTACAGATTTTGTTGGTTTTTTTTTTCTTATGTGGTTAAAACAACGCTAAACCCTTTGTTTTTCTCTGTTGTCTTCTAAAAATCTATAAATTATCTGTACTAATATATTAGGTTATACTAAATTTCCACTGCGTCATTCCCTCTTGGATTTGCACTTCTGTCATTCCCAATTGCAGGCATTATGAGTCCAGATGGGATTTGTTGAACCAATGTTTTTTTAAGTCTGGTTGGGGGTTTTTTGTTGTTTTTTTTTCTTTTTAACAAACTTAAATCAAGGAAAAATTCTTTCAGTTGCAGCCAAAGGAACAGGTGAACTTAATCCAAGTTTTAAAAGAACATGCTAGTTGGGGAGCACCAAATCCCACAATGTTTGTGTGGTACAATATTACTTTATTTCCTGAAGGGCTTGCAATGCAGATGGCAGCTGGCTGCTGGGTGAGCTGTGTTCACTGTTAGCTCCACAAATAGTAGATGGATTACTCCATAAAAGTGTCACGAAGGAATAGCACCGCTGCAGACCATGGTACATTCCAGATATGATACTCTTCCAAGAGTTGTTTTGAACTGCATGGCTAAAGTCCTTTCTGAGGAGTTACTGCTATCAAGAGTGCAGTGATTAAAGACAATTCTGGTTTTCTTTCCTTAGCAGTCCAGCTGACATAATTTCTAAAGAGATGATCACGTTTAAAATACTTTGTGTCCGGCTAGAGACATAGGATGTATTAAATATGTAGATTAGCACTTTTTCTAATGGTATTTAATCTTCTATCAAGTAGGGCTGCCTGCATTGTACTTGTATTTTCTACAACCTCATTGTTCAGAATAACTGTCCACTGCATCAAAGCTTTCAGGTGTAAATTTTCATAAGTCTGAAAATCCCACTGTACTGGAGAATGCCAGGTCCTAAAGCAGTCTGAGGAGCACAGCAAAAATAAGCTTCAACACTGAAAGAATTCAGAATTCTCAAAGACTGAATTTTCAAAGATTCTTATGTTCAGGATTTTTTTTTCATGATCAGCATGTTCTTAGATTTCCCATGCCCATGTCATATTAAAAATTTTACTATGCTTTTTACTTGTCACATCTTATTTGGCTTATTTATTCACCCTCTAAAGAAAAGACTCTCAGCTATTTTATCGGGCCATTGTTACATCTCTCTAAGTTCCCAGTCACTGCAATTATGGCAGAGGAGACAAAATGCAGTCAGGAGTTTCAGTGTGACAGCTGCACGTGAAGTCTTGCTGTCAGTGGATTTCCAGTCACTTCTACAGAGAGGGACACAAATGAAGTACCATAGTACTGAATTTTTAATCCCCTTAAACATGAGTGAAACAAAACTCAGATGACATTGGCCTGGTTAAATTCAGTGAGTCAAAATAGAAAAGTTACCAAACCAAATGAAAATGTACAGCCCAGCTCACATTCTAGAGAATTGGTTTGAGTCCCAGTTCTTCTTAGCTGTGACAGAATAAAATATTTAATCAGATGGCTACCTTAGCATGCAAAGTAGCCTTGCTTTAATATGTCATTGAAAGAACTTCAAGGCAAGCAGGTGCTTCCATTGCCTCTCCAGAAGACTCCATAAAAATGGACAGAACTCAAGAGTTTCTCAAGGCTTAGGAAAAAAGAAAGAATTGGCTTTATCTGTTAAAATTTTAATGTTTGAAATGGTTCATTAATTGTTTGTTCAACAGGAGAACAAAGGCAGAATTATGTGTTGTGGTACTGATGATCTTTTCTTCAAATTTAGCAGTTCTAAAACGTTTCTGAACAAAAGGCACACGAGTAGATACTACATGTGTGGGAAAGAAAGCATTTATCTTAAATGGAGGCTGCTGAGGTGTCTGGACAAAGGTTACAATTCCCATGTCAGTGTTCTCAAGGGGCACAGATGCACTGAAGGGCCAAGCCCGTGTGTCTGTGCTGGGGGTGCCCAGCTGCTGTGGGCACGAGTTTGGGCATCTGTGTTTGGCACGTGTGTGCCTGGCACAGAGATGTGTGGTTTCCTTCATAAAGTGATTGAAAACAGCTACTAGAAATTAATGTTGCAAGCGAAAAGGTTTAAAGCAAAAGGATGTGTGTCTGTCTTCCTGAAATATCAGTTATTTGCAGTCTCTCTGTTTGCAGTTCTTTCTGTTCTGTTATTACAGTAAACAGTAACTGCAATCAGTGTGCAGCAGTTTCAAGTGATAATAGGGATGGGTCCAACTAACTTAGAAGCAAATGGAACAGCATCACCGTGCATCTCTTATGTGAGTCAATGTAAAAATAAGCAGCCAGAAATTCCTAAAATGCTGCCAGACACCTGGAGAGGAGCTTTCTCTGCCTCTATGTCCAGCTCTCACCGTGTCCACTGACGTTTGAAATTGCCTGCAGTGCGAGAGAAAACCAGACTGCTGAAACGCAGTGGAATTTCACATAACTAATATGTCTCTTCAGACCAAACTGAAGTTTAGCCAGCCCCTTGAATTTGCTCTCTGTGCTCAGCAGAAAGTCCTCCTTGGGCTTGACTTGCCTGGGCCAGGGCAGGGGGTGCCCGGCAGGAATGTGTGGAATTGGAGGCTGGAAAAATTTGCTTGTCAAGCAGCATATTCTCCTGTTCAGAGCAGTTGGTTATCTAAATGAAAGTGATTTCCCAGGGCATCTGGCTCTGCACATGATCTAGAACAAATAGCTGAGGATTAATTTTCGTTTCAGAAGTGGAGGATTTAGCTCTGTCTCAGGAAGATGCTACGCGGGGGGCTGCCAGGGGAAGCATTCCAGTCGGCAAAGCACTTTCTGCTCAGAATTAGCATTCAGGCAATTAAATAGCTCAGCTGGCTGGGCAGGCTTAGCTCTCTGAGCACTCAGCAAAGGCATCAGGGAAGAAAATGAGTTAGAAACTTCCCTGCTTATCTGCCTTAATCTATGTGTATTGTGTCTCTCTGCAAAGTTCTGTGTCTTTAATGCAAGCCTTGCAATTTGGGCTTGCAATACTGTTAAATAAATTTGGTATTAAAAAGTCAAAGCAGTTGTAGTTAACTGATTCTGTTTTTTCAGCAAGTGTTGATTTATTTTTCTAAGTAGTACATAATTAGTGTTTTTCTTCCTTTCTCTTCCTCCATCCCCCAGGCCCATGTAAATTGGGTAACAATCTCTTACCTGAGTGTGATATTTGACCCTTCATGTTATTTATCAAAATAATGATCTCCAACTTACCTTTTTATCTTATTAAAACAAAGTTATAGTTAAGATGGGAAAAATTGGCTGCTGTGAGCACCTCACACAAGTTTTGATCTGGAGCTGTGGTCACTTCTACAATGTTAATAGTGCTCATTTACCTACATATTGCTTGAAAAACCTTAGGAGAAAATCTTTTAATATCCTTTATTTACAACATGATAAATTATATACTGCCTTTAGAACACATGTCACTGAGAAGCAAGTACTTCTCAATCAGCAGTAATTCAATCTTGGGATTATTTTTTTGCCAAATTGAGAAAAACATGTCATCATATTCTATCTTTTTAGTATTCATAATAGTTCATTTTGAGCTTCTGCTAAAGACCTAGTCTACTATTCAGAAAATATTCAGATATGTCTGCTGAAATGGTTTGATTTATTCAAATAAGGCATTTCAAAATTTCTTTATAAACATGGATATGCCTCATTTTTAATAGAAACTAGAAAGGAGTTTACTGAGACCAGCACATTATTGGTTATTAAGTAATTTCTATTGTGTGGGCTTGTCTCCTGCAGGTTTTTAAAGCACACAGATAAATTGCAGTGCAAGGTGTGGATGGTGACACTGTTTATACCAAAATTTATTTTTATAAATAGTGACTATGGCTTAGTTTTGTGCACAATGATCTTGCTCTTCATTTCAACCATTATTTGTTAGCTGTGACACAGACACTGTCAAATCTCTATTCATTTGACTTATAATTTGGTTTAATCACTAAAAATTGACATAACTTCACTCTTAACATTTTATTGAACAAATTTAAGTACATTAAAACATTCCTGGCAGTGCGCGTGACTCCTTTCTATTTCCCTGTGTTGTGAAAGGTGAAGCTCAGAGCAGAGTTTTACTCACGTTAATCTGAAGTTATTTTGAGCATCTGAAAACACTGCAACTCTTAAACTGCTTTATTTGTTTCTTCAGGAACATCACGTGTCCACTGAGAACTCGGAGCATGGCTATGAGCAACACCAGTGACTCTGTGGTCCTGAGCAATGGCAGCATCTTGTCAAATGCTGCCGGCCCAGGGGTTGTTGCAGCGAGTGATGGAGACATCACGGTCCAACAACTCCCATCCAAGGAAACGCCAAGAACAAAACCAAGTCCAAATGGCTGCCTGCAACTAAATGGTACAATCAAACCATCCTTTCTGCCTTTAGACAACCAAAGAACTCAGCAGATGTTGTCGCAATGCTGCCACCTTTGTCCATACCACCATTCTTTAAGTAGCCATAATAGCAAGCAAGAATGTCATTCAGTGGTTGGCAGCTCAGCACCATCTCCTATGACCTCGTGCTGCATGCAGCCACACACTGAGTACTCAGCCTCTATTTGCCAAAAACACACCCCTATCTATCAGCCTGCCTGCTGTCTTCAGCCCTCCCCATCCTTCTGCCTTCACCATCAGTGGCCTGACCATTTCCAGCATCAGCCTGTGCAGCAGCACATAGCCAGGATAAGGTAAGCTGGTTGCATTATTTCTTAGTTCTCAGAATGGGTAATCTTTCCCAGAACTATTTTGTTTTCCTACAAAAGTAGAAGATCTGAAAGGAAGATGAATCAAATTTCTTTCCTGGTGATTTTACAGATCAATTTTCGATGCATTACCAAGTTATTATATCCAGAAGAAACCAAGTCAGGAGATTTGTTTTGCTGGGCTCCATGAATGTTCCTGAAGTGAATTAGTTCTTTCTTGGGAGGAAAAAAAAAAAAAGGCTGTTTTTTTTTTTCTTCTTGGGGATTGTTTAGAAGCTCATTAGCTCTTTTAGAAGACACAGGGTATACTTCTATTGTATCAAACAAACCAGTACAGAGATAGCTAAGAATACACTGAAAGATCTGGTGTGTGTGCATAGTCCAATCAAAACACTCATTTCCTTTAAAAGATGCATTCAAAAGTACTTTAAACAATTATATTTTCAAATACAGGGTGTTTTTTCTTTGTTGTGTCAGCTGGTTCAGTGGGTTGCCCTCATGTCTTTCCAGTGCAGGTTATCTGCAAAGCTTTAAAATTGTGCTCAGATTGAGAAATTTGGGATTGTTCCAGGTTTTAGTCCTTTCTGTTCTCCATTTCATAAGAACTTGCCTCTGTATTTATTAGCTTTGGAGTTCTAGAGCTTCAGGGAATGACAAACACAAGAAAATTCTCTACAGCCTCCTGGTCCTGGGCAAAATCAGTCAATCTAAGGCAATTTCTAAAAAACAAATTCCCCATTGAAGGAAGACACCTTGAAGCTTTTAAGCAAGATTATTATTTTTTCTGGGTTGCAGTTGGGCTAGAAGTGGTGGATTTTCATGGGAGCATTAAAAACTACCCTTCTTCCTGTTCTCCAACATCTGCAATCTTGTTCAAGAACTTGGAGCAAGATTTGTTTCTCAGTCAGTTACCATGATTTTGTCTTGATGAAATATATGAACTAATTTTAAACTCCTAAAAATATCAGACTAGGAAAAACATGTAATGTGGAAAAACTCAAAGTGAATAAAGCTTTTTTTCTCCTAAGGTAAAAGCAGATGAAAATAGCGATGATAATAGAGAGCACAAATCAGCTTTCTCCTGCCAGTTATTCCACTTACAAATGGAAAAAATCACAGTTGTCAGAACTGCTTACAATCAGAGATAATTTTTCCACCCCATACTTGTTTAAATGTCAAGCAAAGATGGATAATTTTGTATGCAAAGGTATGCAGGAAGTACTATTGTAAGATCAGTCATACTTTTCAAAATGTGAAAAGTTGGAATGGTTGTCCTGATTTCAATGTTTTTCCCCCTGTGCAGCAGGGCTGTTAAACTTCATCTGTATTCCATAGTCATGAGGAAGGGAACAAATGCCATCCATAATCTGGGTTTCTGGTTTTAGTCTAGAAATAAAAACAATAAAAATTTCTTCTGGAAATGATAAAATAATGTTTTCTGTCATACTTCACAGATACAAAAACTGTTTGAAGTGCTCTGATTGGACTCTTGAGCCAAGATGCTGGTTTTTCATCTTGAACTTCCTTGCCATGCCATACACTTCTACAAAAATGTACAGAAATAATGAATAATGATTTATGATAAATGGTTTGTCTTACTGTGAGCAGTCAAACAAAGATGCAATCCAACCTTTAAAGCACTTATACTTATTTAATGAGCTCTGTTAGCATACCCTGCATATCCCTATCAAATGATTACTGGACTGCTTCCATGCCTTTTCATTCCTTAACTGCCCATGGCTGCATTAATGGACAGTGTGTACAGTGTATACTGATCTGACTGTCACTGAGCATGGAATCAAAGACTTTTTTTCTCTCTCCATACTCAACAAGATGTGGCTAAATCCCACAGTCTCTCATTGCACTGTGAAGTTATCACCCAGAGAGGCCACTGTCAATGTAGACATGTTGGGAGATGGTAAAAACTGGGAGCAGCTGGATGCAGCACTGCAGGTGGATGGATGTGCACTGAAGAAGAAGCAAAGTGCCTCATTTGTAGCTACTTGGCAGGGCTAATAAGGAGAGGTGATAAATGTATATTCATTTTTTATGTGCTCTGGTAACTTCCTGTAAACAGAGGAATAACACTTAGGTGTGTAATATTTTAATGTGATCATTGTTCCACACTCTTAATTTTATTGCAGTTTGAGCTTATAATCTGCACAGCAGCTTCTTCTCCAGGTATTTTTATTACAAGGTTCATTGGAAATCATCCAACTTTATAAAATGTGCATGCTTTAACAGGATTATTTAAAATATAGGCTCTCGTACGATACATTAGTTAAATTCAGTATGTAGTCAAACGACACTTAATTTAGCTTCTTTCTATTTTTAAAAAATGCATTCAAATACTGTTATAATTTTAAGAAGGGGCAAAGATATGATTAGATAGAGGAGGGTGAACACTCTTTGCAGACTGTTTCACTGATGCTTATAGCTCTGGGCAGGTAACCAATTGTTTCAGCACAACAGGTTTTGTCAGGTTTTGAAGCCCAAGGCTTAACATTTGTCAGTGACCTAATATTAAAGGAATGTGGCTCTAGTATATCATTGCAGATTGGAGTGAGTAAAGACAGATTGAAATAATGCCACACTTGTCCTGTCCTCTTAAAGCTGGCTGGATGTGGAATTTTGTAGAGGGTTCAGCTTTGAAGTTTAACTAAATTACATGGAAACATCATCTCTCCCCCATATCTTGGGAGTCTGGACAACTGTTAATTTTTTTAGGTTGGTGAAAGAGTTCTGTAGCATAAAAGAAAATATTTTTAGTGGTTGGTGTTTTGCAGCATTATTGTAAAAAATTCTACTGTAAATGTAGGTAAAAGAGGACAGTCAACATTTGGTTGTAGTGATAATGATGAATTTTAGATGTTTTTCTGAGGTTGGAAGATCTTGAGTAAAGTTTGTGTTATTTTGTGTACATATTTAAGAAGTAGCTCATGTAAATATGTTCATACCTCTTTTTTTCAGTGGCCATACTATCTTGACCACACAAACACTCCTGGGAAATTCTAGCCATCTCTCCATATCAGAATGTAGTTATCTGGGGGTTTGATTTGCTTTCTAAACATTTCTAAATTTACCTGTGTAGGAGCATGGCACATTTAATTCTATTCTGTTCTGTTGGATGATTTTTTTTTTCCCTTGCCTTGTGCCTTTGGAGAGCTCATGCTGATGTATCCCATTTTGTTGGAATGTTCCTCTGTATCTCAAGAAACCTGGGGCTTAGACACCCTGGAAGATACATGGTTACTGCCCCTCCTTTGCTGCCACCTGCTTCTGTAGTCATCAGCAGCCTTCACCAGGGTGGAGTAGAAATGGGGAAAACCAACCAAGTAAGGCTGTGAAAGAGGTGTGAAGATTATCCATAATGACTGGAAGCACTGAGTTAGGAGTCCCTAGGGAAAAGTAAAATTCTGCAGCCCAGTATCATTCTTAGTGGGATGAAAGGAGGATAAATAAATAGTGAACAGTTGCATTGTTCTCTAGGAGAGCTAAATACTAGTATTTTAAAGAAGCCAGAAAACTCTTATAATCTTTCCTGGTATTTTTCAAAACCTCTTCTTATAGAAATGTATGCATGTAGATAGGAGTGGAAGAGAAAGGATGTGCAGAGATCATTCAGGAAGTTGTCTCAGGATTGTGGAAGATACGGAATAACAGTGGTGGTATCTCTGGTTCCAAATTGGATTGCTTCCCTCAGAAATGTATGGGAAGTTTTTAGTGAGAAAACACAAGTCAAAAGCTACCTGCATGCCTGTTAATCCTGATGTCAACTCTGCTGGAATCTCTCTGGTGATTAAATTTAGAAAACTTAGGTCTGTGGACTGAGAGACAAAAGGTAAGGGCAGAAGAGGTCAGGGAGCTGAGAAGGAACTGCTGGAGCTGCTGCTAAGGAAAATGCTCCAGACTGGCCAGTGTGTGCAGTGCTTGCACATCTGCAGTATCAAACCAATAAATTCAAACAAGCACTCTTGGCTCAGGGTGAGCCTGCTTTGTGTCACCCACTGTTATTTACTTTTTTAGACTATACTGTTAGTGCTTTTGTCTAAAGCAGACAAGTAAGGAAAACTGTTCTGAAAAGCATCTGAATTATCTGTGGTAAAAAAAAAAAATAGGCTGAAAGGATATATGGGATGATCTCTCCACAATCACGCAATCATCTCAAGCTGGAACTGGAAAATAAAATCTGTTTAAGGCCCTACAGAATGCTTACTTTGGCTAAAATTTAAGAATTGCTCCTCATTGCCCACCAGCCAACTCTGGAGGTTTTAGCTCCTAAAGCTTAGTTAGTTTAAATTGCTAGATTCAAAGTTTTTGCTTGCTAGACCAATTTATATTCTAAAGAAGGCAAAAAACAGTGTCAGGAAACTAGTAAAGCATCCAGACTTACTGTACATCTTGCTTTCAGTTAGATTTAAACCTTCTTTTGAAGTGTTTTGGCATTGCAGATTTATGTGGCTGTTCTGGGATTTTTGGGTTCTGCTGTGTCTCAGCGTTCTGTGCCACACACTGTTCAAACAGTACTGCAGATACACGTGAATACTTACACTTTATTTAATACTTTAAAACAAAGCTCTGTAGAAATGAAAAAGCTGTGAAATGAGGATAGAACATTACAGCTGCCTCTTACCCATTTTAGATTTTTCCTTCTATTTATTTGGCCTAAAGATTAGAACCAGAAAAAAAAATCTCCTGTTTTTTCAAAAAGCAAGGGAATGTTTGCCAAATACCAATCTTAATAACAAGATTTTGTTATGAAACAGCTCCCTGCTTGATTCCAGGAAAAGGATAATTGTTATCTAGTACATTCTGCATGGCTTGCAGAGCTAATTTTGCGTATACATGTGAGTAAAATTTTTTCAACTATCCTCATTTCAGCAACATGAACAGTTCACAAAAGTTTGTCCATAGGGCTTTTTTAACAACCTATTCTATTTTGAAAGTTGTGAGCTTCTGCTTTATTTGATGCATTAAAAGATATT